GTTCTCGTTTAACCTTCGGGTTCTATTTTAAACCTTCGGGTTTCATTCTAACCTTCGGGTTCTATTTTAAACCTTCGGGTTTCATTCTAACCTTCGGGTTCTATTTTAAACCTTCGGGTTTCATTCTAACCTTCGGGTTCTATTTTAACGGCATTGCCGTTTCAAGGCCGTCTCTCGGTCTCAAATTAACGGCATCGTCGTTTCAAGCCGTCTCTCGGCCTCAAACGAACGACATTAGTAACAGCATCTCGACATCTTAACGTCTCAAGATTGCTGTTATGGCTCCTTCAGAGAAGATTCCCAAACCACCTTTGCCCCTCAATGATCAAAGTGACTGGGCAGGGTGGTCCACCATTGTCACCAATGCCTTGCGTGGCGCTGGTTTGCTTGATCATCTCACCAGTACGGGACCAGTTCCACCGTCCATCAGCACTGTTGCTTCATCCAGTACTATTGCCTCTGGCAGTGGTGATGTCGATCTTCAGACTGCTCGTGCTCTCTATGTCAAGGAGAGTTCAGAGTGGCAATTGCAGGAATTTCGTGTTATGGATTATCTCACTCGCTGTGTTGGCTCTGGTCTCACTGTCGAGATTGGCTCGCTTCCCTCTGCTCAGGCCATGTGGACTCGTCTCACTGAGCGTTTCACTGAGTGCTCGGGTGCACGGGAGGCATATCTTCTGCAACGCATTTCTCTACAACGCAAAGGTAGTTCATCTCTGCAGTCCCATTTTGGACAAATGCAAGCTTTTTGGACAGAGTTACGCTCCATGCTTCCTGGACGTAATTCCACATATGAAGACTGGCTAGCCTGGTACGAACGGCATGAGGTGCATCAATTGTTTCAGTCCCTTCCTGAATATTCAACTATGGCTGATCAACTACTTCACCAGCCTCAATTTCCGACTTTGGCCTCAGTTATGGGAGCTCTCACTGCTTATGAGACCCGGCAGCAGACAGCACGACTCAATTTGTCAACAGACACTCCTACCTCTTCACTCGAGACTGTTTTGTCTGTACCTGTCACTGCTCCTGTTATGAATTATACTTCTCCACAGGCTCCCTCTCCACAGGCTCGATCTAAGCTCTCTTGCAAATATTGTAAGAAGGAAGGACACCGCATTGAGACATGCTTCAAGCTTCATCCTGAGTTACGTTCCTCAGGTACTGGACGTGGTCGGCGACCCCCTCAGTCTCAACCCTCTCGTACACCAGGATTGTTGGCCAATGCTATACCTTCTACTACTTCAGACTCTACTATTCAAGCTATTGAAAGTCTTCGCCGTCAACTTGATGCTTTTCAACATATCACCTCTACATCCGCCGCACAACTCTCTGGTATGCATTTTGCTGGTTCTTCAGCTAATCCTTCAGTCTCTGGTATGAATGATCTCTGGATTTTTGACTCTGGTTGTTCCTTTCATATGACTTGTAATGCCTCACTTTTATCCTCTGTCTTTACTTCATCCTCTCTTCCTCCTATCTACACAGCTGCTGGACAACCATTGTCCATTACTCAGTATGGCTCTATTACCCCACAAAATGATCCATCTGGTCGTCTAACACTTGGTCCCGTCTATGTGGCTCCACAATTGTGCTTGAATTTAATTTCTATTAGCTCTTTATGCATGGCGGGCCTGTTTGTCTCATTTTCTTCTGATACTTGTATTGTGCAGGATCCACAGACGGGCAAGACGGTTGGGGCGGGTCGTAGGAGGCACAAACTGTATTTTCTGGAATATCTTCACCTTCCAGAGTCCATACGTCCACGTTCTCTTGTTGCTTCTCTTTGTTCGTCAAAACCCTCTACCTCGCTTCCTGCCAATTTATGGCATAGACGACTTGGTCATGTGTGTAATAAAAGGCTGGAGAGTCTTATTCAGTCTGGAGTACTTGGTCCTGTATCATCTAGTTCTAGTATTGAGTCATGTGCTGGTTGCAAATTGGCTAAATTCACTGCTTTACCATTTAAAATGAGTACATCTGTATCCACTTCCTTATTTGATTTAGTACATTCTGATATTTGGGGGCCAGCTCCTTTGCCTTCTTCATCTGGCTACTTATATTATGTTAGTTTTATCGACGATTTCTCTCGTTTTACATGGGTTTACCTACTTAAGAATCGCTCTGACGTACTTACTGCTTATCAAGCCTTCACTGCTATGATTTTCACTCAATGGCAATCTCGTATTAAAGTTTTTCGTTCTGATTGTGCCAAAGAGTACCTATCCTCTGCCATGCGCTCTATCATGTCCTCTCATGGGACTATCTTTCAACAGTCATGTCCCTACACTCATGAGCAAAATGGTGTTGCTGAACGCAAACATCGTCATATCCTCGATACTGCCCGATCAATGCTCATTTCTTACTCTGTTCCTCGTCGTTTCTGGGCTGAGGCTATTCTCACCGCGACTCATGCCATTAATATCACTCCATCTAGCTCTCTTTCCGGTGCTACTCCTTATAGTCGTGTTTATACTCATCCTCCCCGTTATGATCTAGTTCGCGTTTTTGGTTGTCGATGTTTTGTTTTTCTGCCATCTCACGAACGTGATAAATTGTCTCCCAGAGCAGTTTCTTGTGTTTATTTAGGAATTAGTTCAGAACATCGAGGTTATCGTTGTTATGATCCCGCAACTCGTCGAGTTCATATATCTCGTCATGTTCAGTTCGAAGAGGATTCTCCATATTATTCTACTTCTGATGACTTTAATTTCCTCCACTCTACCGATCATGCTTCCCCGTCCACTGCATCACCCACTTCTTCACCTCAATTTTCCTTTCGAGATCTCCCTGACATCTCTCCCTCTCCTTCTGTTGACTCTTCCTCACCTGAGTCTTCTCTTACACCATCTAATCCATATCCTGTGGACACAACTCTCACTCCAGAAAATACTGTTGATCTTCATGCACCTGCGCCAGCATCTCCCCCGCCTGAGGTTCCTCTTGCTCTTCGTCGAGGCAAACGCCCACATGTCATGCCTGCCCGGTATGCTTCTGTTACTTCTTATTCACCTATCTTTCATAACTTTCTTGCTGCCATTCATACTATTGTTGAGCCAAAGTCCTTCCAAGAGGCAGTTCAAATTCCAGAGTGGCGACAAGCTATGGCTGAGGAATTTCAAGCATTTCAGCAAACTCATACCTGGGATATTGTTCCCTGTCCTCCTGGGATCTCTCTTGTTGGCAGTAAATGGGTTTATAAGGTCAAGTTTCGTCCTGATGGCACCATTGAACGTCGAAAAGCTCGTTTAGTGGCTAGAGGTTTTACTCAGCAACAAGGTATTGATTATGAGGAGACCTTTGCTCCTGTTGCTCAGATGCCCACTGTGCGTACTCTCCTTGCGGTCGCTGCTGCTCATCGTTGGCCCTTATACCAGATGGATGTCAAAAATGCTTTTCTTCATGGCTCTTTATCAGAGACCGTATATATGCAACCGCCTCCAGGGTCAAATATTCCTCCGGGACATGTATGTCTCCTTCGTCGTGCTGTTTATGGTCTCAAACAGGCACCCCGCGCTTGGTTTGAGTGTTTTCGCGATGTTGTGCTCAAAGCGGGCTTTATAGAAAGTCATCAAGATGCTTCTCTGTTTGTTCGCACTACATCGCGTGGCAGGGTTTTATTACTCATCTATGTAGATGATATGATCATTACAGGTGATGATATGACAGGTATACAATACGCAAAATCTCAGTTGCAACAACAGTTCCACATGAAGGATCTTGGATCTCTTCGGTATTTCCTTGGTCTAGAAATTTCTCAAGGCCCGCGGGGTGTATTACTGTCTCAACAGAAGTATCTCTCAGATATTCTAAATCAAGCTGAGTTAACTGATAATACAACTGTCGATACTCCACTCCAGCAGAATGTCAAACTTTGCTCTACTGACGGTGAGCCTCTATCTGATCCTACCCGATATCGACATCTTGTTGGTCAGTTGGTCTATTTGTGCATCTCTCGACCAGATATCTCTCATGCTGTTGGTATTGTCAGTCAATTTGTTAGTGCCCCACGTTCTGTATACTATGCTGTCTTATTACGGATTCTTCGGTACCTCCGGGGTACTAGCACTCGCTCACTTTTGTTTCCTGTTACATCTAAGTTAGAGCTTTGTGCATATTCTGATGCTGATTGGGCTGGTGATCCAACTACCAGAAAGTCTACCACAGGTTATTGTATATTTCTTGGTGATTCCCTTATTTCCTGGCGAAGTAAGAAACAAGATGTTATTGCTCTTTCCAGTACTGAGGCAGAGTATCGTGCAATGTCCACAACAGCTAAAGAGATTATTCATCTTCGTCGCCTTCTCAGTGATTTTGGTATTTCTGTTACGACTCCTACTCCTCTCTACTGTGATAATAAGAGTGCCATCCAGATTGCTAATAATCCAGTATTTCATGAAAGGACCAAACATATTGAGATCGACGCTCATTTTGTCCGTCACCAAGTTATCAAGGACAAGACAATTCTACTTCCTCATGTTTCATCCGCTGACGAGCTTGCAGATTTCTTCACAAAGGCCTTACCTGTTCATCGGTTCCAGTTTCTTGTACGCAAACTCACTTTGTTTGATCCAACATGAGTTTGAAGGGGGCTGTTGATAATAATGTATTGTAGTGGGTTTTAGTCCCACATTGCTTGGGAGAACAAACCTCACACTCCTCTACTTGTATAAATATATGTGCACACTCAATATTCAATTCAAGGGAAATTTACCCAAGATTCTCTCTCTCTCTTACTTTAACATTTCACTAACTGAGAGAACGAACCTCAATTTTTATTAATCCAACAGACACATAACATTGATTCACTAGCTTTTACAGAAGTAAGAAGAACCTCATGCTAGCAATCTCTCACACATAACAAAAGTAAATAATTCCTAGACCACTACAACTTCTCATTGCATTTGAAATGATAAATGATAAATATCACAAACTATCTGTAGTGATTTATTATTACATTGCATTACAACAACATAAGTAAATTCTTCGTCCTGCGTCTCTCACAGGTGAAGGGTAAGATCGAGCTGCTCTTCTCCATTGTCCTTCTTTTCGCCATTCTCTTGATTCTCCCTCGAAGATGATCCATGCTCATCGACATTATTACGACTGCTAACCCACTTCATAAACCTTTCATTTGTTTCTATACGGCCTCTAGCAACATTATGAGCAACATTATAAGCCTGCTCATTTCTTTGGCTCACAGGCATTAATCGATACAGAGAGTTTCCTGAAACCCTAGGGTTAGGGTTAACCCTAGGTGGACTATATCCCACATTAGCTCGAAAATGATGGTAATGTTGCGGGTAATGGTATGGATGATAACGGGGTGAGTATTGATAGCTGCCACGCCATTGAGGGTGGAGATCATATGGATTAGGATAATATGGTGAGCGAGGGATTAAAGGATGATAATAATGAGATGAGTTCATGAATTGTTGAGGGACTGGTGTTGGTGCGGGTAAAGAATATGGATCAAAAGGATCATAACGAGGTTCTTGAGGTTTTTCTTTTTTCGCCAATAAACGCTCTTTTTTGTGGGCGTTTTGATGCCCACCTAGAGCTTGCCAACAGTCGAATACTTTGTCGCAGTAATTGCATGGATACATTGGTTCAGATTCTTTGACATTTGGATTCTGAACAATGTTGATATTAGAGCCAGTGTTGTCTGAAACCTGATCAGCCATTCTTTCTGTATGCAAAAGTTAGAAGATTACCCTTGATCATTAGTAATAATAATGGGCACTTTAATGACGAAGAAAAATATGTACACAGGATAGATTTGAACAGTAGATATATATGGATCGACAGAAAAACATGGATACAGACTGAAACTCTCCGCATCGAATATAAAAAAATTAGTTTGCAATGTCACATTAATTATAGACGGAGAACATCCAGACGGTAATTCAACCTTTGTGGAGGGGATTTTCCATCTGCGATGATCTAAATGTACTAAAAAAATAAACTACTTATCTAAAAGTATTAAACAACTATCGGAAGTACTAGATAAAGATCATACACATAAAACTATAGTATCCATAAAGAAGACGAAAGATTTACCTTCTCTGCTTTAGCTTTGAAGGAGACAACTGTTGTCAATAATAATGACCATATCAAGCTAGAGAGGTCCTTAATTTATAGATGTAAGTTTACCATATATAGAAACAAGATAATCCAATGGTCTTCCTCGTAGTTTCATGTACACAATGGTAGTAAATTTGCAGATATATGCTGTCTGTAAATAACAATTGTCACCTTTTATTTGTACTTTCCTCTTGTGACCAATATTCTTCTCCCTTGTACTAATTCTTTTAACACTTTCCAGAATTATAATTAGCAAATTAACTTGTTATACACTAAGTGCCAACTGTCCAAGAGCTTTCTAAACCTGGAAAAAAAATACTCGACCAGGTTTGAATTTTTGAGGAGATGCACACATTGTCAGAGTAAGTAGCTTTCTTATTATTCTCTATTTGTTCCCTGAATTATCGAAACATTCTGTATGAAGGGACTTCCTCTTCGTCAAAGGAATCTTTACAACTATGTTTTTTGATGCATATATACATATATATATACATCCATGAGGATACACATTATGTTCAAACAATCCTATAAAGTTTGAAGTTAAGGTGATGAATCAAGTATTTGTACATTGACATCTTGTTACAATTCAGTAATTTAAAATTTTTAAATTCTGTTACAATCTTCAAAGTAAATTCTGTTACTGAACTAGCGTTATAGATCTTTATGTATAATATCATATAATCCAACTTAGTATATGCTCATGATAACTACGGTAAAACTACAAAGGCAAAAAAATTGAGCACAATGACTAAGTGCTAGAGAAATTGAATGCCATATTCATGAACATATCCGAATTAATCTCATCATCTGAAAATTAAGTATGAATTCAGCAATAATGCGGCATCGTGAATGTAACAGAAGTCTTTACTAGATCGCTAATTACATCATGAGGTACATGCACAAAAAATGCACGGGATAAAAGTAACAGTAGATAGCATTACTACATGAAAGGTTATTGTGCCGATTTCTGATATTTAAAGCATTATTTACTCCAAAACTCTTAGTTAACATAACTTTTTAAACCTTCATGCTACTCGGAGACCGCCAAAACTCCAAAAAAACCTTGCGTCTCACGTTTGGCCATAATATGCATAAATTCCATGAAAAAGGAAGCAACACAAAGTGGAAAAATCTGGATAGCAGTTACCTTACTTGTAGTACTAAATAGACATTTTTTATCATTAAGTTATTCTTCTGCACTATATTTTCGAATAGTTAATAACTTATTTGAAATCAAGCGCATGAAAAAAAATTGTTACAGTAGCCATATCTATACTTCTCTGGGATAGTTTATATTCCTGGAACTTTTTCTGATACAGCCCCAATAGTTCTGTCGGGTGGTTTTTTTAATAGTGTTAAAGTAAGAGAGAGATCGAGTCCTGGGTAAATTTCACTTGAGTTGAATATTGAGTGTACACATATATTTATACAAGTAGAGAAGGATGATGTATATTCTCACAACCAATGTGAGACTAAAACTCACTACAATACACTATTATCAACAGCCCCCCTCAAACTCATGTTGGATCAAGCAAAGTGAGTTTGCACACAAGAAACTATAACTGATGAACAAGTAAGGCCTTTGTGAAGAAATCTGCAAGCTCGTCAACAGATGAGACATGAGGAAATAGAATTATTTTGTCCTTGATAACTTGTTGACGGACAAAATGAGCTTCGATCTCAATATGTTTGGTCCTCTTATGAAATTATGGGTTATTAGCAATCTGGATGGCACTCTTATTATCACAGTAAAGAGGAGTAGGAGTTGTAACAGAAATACTAATCACTAAGAAGACGACGAAGATGGATAATCTCTTTAGCTGTTATGGACATTACATAATACTCTGCCTCGGTGCTAGAAAGAACAACAACATCTTATTTCTTACTATGTCAGGAAATTAAAGAATCATAAGAAATATACAATAACCTGTGGTAGACTTTCTGATAGTGGGATCACCAGCCAAATCAGCATCGAAATACGCACAAAGCTCTAACTTAGATGTAGCAGGAAATAGAAGAGAGCGAGTGCTAGTATACCAAAGATACTGAAGAATTCTTAATAAGGCAGCATAGTATACAGAACGTAGGGCACTAATAAATTGACTAATAATACCACCAGCATAAAAGATATCTGATCGAGAGATGCATAGATAGACCAACTGGCCAACAAGATATCGATATCCAGAAGGATCAGATAGAGGCTCACCATCAGTAGAGCGAAGTTTGATATTCTGTGAGAGTGGAGTATCAATAGTTACATCGTCAGTTAGCTCAGCTCGATCTAGAATATCCGAAAGATATTTTTGTTGTGATAGTAGTACACCCTGCTGGCCTTAAGAAATTTCTAGACCAAAAAAATACCGAAGAGATACAAAATCTTTTATGTGGAACTGTTATTACAACTGAGATTTTACGTACGGTATACCAGCAACATCGTCACCTGTAATGATCATACCATCTACATAGATAAGTAATAAAATTCTGCCACATGATGTAGTTCGAACAAATAGAGAAGCATCTTGATGACTTTCCATAAAGTCCGCCTTGAGCACGACATCATGAAAATACTCAAACCAAGCGCGGGGTGCCTGCTTGAGACCATAAATAGCACGGCGAAGGAGACATACATGTCCAGTAGGAATATTGGACACTGAAGACGGTTGTATATATACTATCTCAGATAAAGAGTCATAGAGAAAAGCATTTTTAACATCTATCTGGTATAAGGGCCAACGATAAGCAGCAGCGACCATAAGAAGAATACGAACGGTAGACATCTGAGCAACAGGAGCAAATGTCACATATGTGCAACAGGAGCAAATGTTTCCTCATAACCAATACCTTATTGCTGAGTAAAACCTCGAGCCACTAAACAAGCTTTCTCATGTTCAATGGTACTATCAGGACGATACACAACCTTATAAACCCATTTACTGTTAACTAAAGAGATACCAGAGGGACATCTAATAACGTCACGGGTATGTTTTTGCTGAAAGATCTAAAATTCCTTAACCATAGTCTATCGCCACTTTGGAAATTGAACGGCCTCTTGAAAGGACTTTGGTTCAATTATAGTATGAATGACAGCAAGAAAATTATGAAAGATAGATAAATAGGACGTAACCAAAGCATACAGTGCAGGCATAACATGTGAACATTTGCCTTGACGAAGAGCAAGAGGAACGTCAGGTGGGGGAAATGCTGGCACAAGTGCATAGAGGTTATCAATATTTTCTAAAGTGAGTGTCATGTCTACGGGATATGGATCAGATGGTGGAAGAGAAGGCTCGGGTGAGGGAGAGTCAACAGAAGGAGATGGAGAGATTTCATGGAGATCTCAAAAGGTGAACTAAGGTAAGGAAATGAGTGATGTAGCTGACGGAGAAGAACGATCAGTTGTGTGGAGGAAATTAAAATTATCGGAAGCAAAATAAAATGGAGAATCATCTTCGAATTGAACATGTCGAGATGAACTCAACGAGATGCAGGATCATAACAATGATAACCTCGATGTTCCAAACTAATTCCTAAATAGACACATAAAACAGCTCTGGGAGATAATTTATCAAGATGATAGAAGAATAAAACAACGACAACCAAAAATGCAGACCAGATAATAACATGGAGGATGAGTATAAACATAACTATGAGGAGTAGCACCAGAAAGAAAGCTAGATGGAGTGATATTAATAATATGAGTAGTACTGAGAATGACCTCAGCCCAGAAACGACGAGGAACAGAGTAAAAAATAAGCATGGATCGAGCAATATCGAGAATATGTCGATGTTTACGTTCAGCAATACTATTTTGCTCATGAGTGTAGGGACATGAATGTTGAAAGATAGTCCCATGAGAGGACACGATAGAGTGCATGGTAGAGGATAGGTACTCTTTGGTATAGTCAGAATGAAAAACTTTAATACGAGCTTGTCATTGAGTAAAGATCATCACAGTGAATGCTTGATATGTGGCAAGTACGTCAGATCGATTTTTAAGTAGGTAGACCCATGTATAACGAGAGAAATCATCGATAAAACTAACATTATATATGTAGCCAGATGAAGAAGACAAAGAAGCTAGCCTCTAAATATCAGAATGGACCAAATCAAATAAGGAAGTAGAAACATATGTACTGGTTGGAAACGATAGAGCAACAAATTTAGCCAATTTACAATCAGTACATGACTTAATATGAGAATGAAAGGATACAAGACCATATACTCCGGACTGGATAAGACTTTCCAGTCTTTTATGAGACACATGACCAAGTCGTCTATGTCATAAATCTGTGAAAAATAAGATAGAGGATTTTGGACTTACGGAAGCAACAAGAGAACGTGGACGTATGGATTGGTGAAGATATTCTAGAAAATACAGTTTGTGTCTCCTCCGACTGGCCCTAACAGTCTTGTCCGTCTGTGGATCCTACACAATACAAGTATCAGAAGAAAATAAGACAAGTAGGTCATCCATATATAAAGAGCTAACAGAAATTAGATTTAAACACAACTGAAGAGCCGCATAAATAGGGCCAAGAGTTAGACGACTAGATAGGTCAGTTTGTGGGGTGATAGTGCCATACTGAGTGATAGACAAAGGTTATCCAGCAGCAGTGTAGATAGGGGGAAGAGAAGAGAAAGTGAAGACAGAAGATAAGAGGGAGGCATTGTGAGTCATATGAAAGGAACAGTCAGAGTTAAAAATCTAGAGATCATTCATACCGGAGACCGAAGGGTTGCTGAGGAACCAACAAGACGCATATAAGAGAGTCGTGTAGTAGACGCAGAGGCTCTATGCTGAAGAGCATCAATTTGATGTGAATATTAGAGAGTTGTGCAGCAGATGGAGAGGTGGCATGTTGAAGAGCCGCAATTTGATGGTTAATATTTGTAATATCTTGAAGAACCTCAATTTGACAGCGAATATCTGAGAGTTTTGTAGCAGATGGAGAGGTGGTATGCTGAAAAGCCGTAATTTGACGACTACTATCTACAATAGCTTGAATGGTAGGGGTCTGAAGTGGTAGATGACATAACATTAACTGATAATCCTGGTGTACTAGAGGATCAGGACTGAGGGGATCGCTGACTACGACCAGTTCCTGAGGAACGTAACTCAAGATGAAGTTAGAAACATGTCTCAAAGCGATGTCTCTCTTTCTTGCAATAGATGCAAAAGAACTTAGACCGAGCCTGAGAAGCATGTGACAATCAAGAGGCCATAATAGCAGCAATTCAAAGTTCAAGATAATAATCATTGAACAAAACCCGAATGTTTAAAGGAGAACCCGAAGGTTAATGTAAAAATCCGAAGGTTAAAATGTAAGAACCCGAAGGTTAAAATGTAAAACCCGAAGGTTAAAATGCAAGAACCCGAAGGTTAAATTTGAACGCGAAGGCTATACATGATTATCAAATCTGAGAAAAAAAGAAGCAACCGGCGACCAAGGTGGCCCGAAGATCGGTCAGATCTGATGCTCACGCCGGAGACCTACAACGGATTAATGCTGATGTTGAGATGTTGAGACGTCAAGATGGATTGAAACGACGATGTCGTTATTGGCTGTGAAATGACAATGTCGTTTGTTTGAGGCTGAGAGACAGCTTGAAATGGCAATACCGTTAATTGAGACCGAGCAACGATATTGAATCCGAGAACGCGAAAAGCGTTAAGAAGCCGCAAAGCGGCAAAACAAAAATTTGGCAGAAGAACGTAAAAAAACGTTAAACAACTACAAAGCAACAAGGCCAAGATTTGGCAAAAGAACACAGAAGCATTAAAAATGTTTATTGGAAGGGAAATAATAATAACTCTAGCTCTGATAGCATGTTAAAGTAAGAGAGAGTGTCCTGGGAAAATTTTCCTTGAGTTGAATATTGAGTGTACACATATATTTATACAAGTAGAGGAGGGTGATGTGTGTTCTCACAACCAATGTGGGACTAAAACCCACTACAATGCACTATTATCAACAAATAGGATCTTTGAAGTACAATTAACTTATGTTTCATTGGCTGCATTTTCTTTTTGGAAGTATTGGTGTTAATTTGCTCATAGAAATCCTTATAACATTTCAAAACTCTCACTCAACTTACATCTAAACCAAATTTTGTCTGTATGGGTTTCTTTTTAGATGCAGTGGTGATCTTAGCAGGACTCGATGCACAAAAGGAACTACATTTGCAACACAGTGATTATCTATACTAAATAAGAAACTTGAATACCACCCTTCTATTGGTGTGGCTTGCTTTAGTACCTTGAAATATTGTCTTGGGTATCTCTGGAAATGCTTATTGATTGTGTAATGTGTTTTGACAATGCAAATCTTGGTAATGAAACATTCTTTTGTGGGTTACCTGTGTATACTAATTATGAACAGTACCACACATCCTTTAATGACGAGTTGCTTCTTAATTATTAACTAAAGCATTAAAAATAATTAAAGTTTCTTTTTCCAAACACGTCGAGAACTCTTAGGATTGACAACTCTGCAAATTCTCTTCGCTGATTGCGAGCTGAACCTCAGATTTTATTAATCGAACAGACACATAACGTTCATTCACTAGCTTTTACAGAAACAAGAAGAAACTCATCCTTGCAATCTTCCACACAAAACAAAAGCAAAAAAGTCTTAAGGACATTACAACCTCTCATGGCATTTGAAATAATAAATATCACAGACTAGCCATAGTGACTTATTTTTTTCATTGCATTACAACAACATAACCCTACGTCTCTCAAAGGCGAAGGGTAAGATCGAGCTCCTCTTCTTCATTCTCCTTCTTCTTCTCACCATTCTCTTGATTCTCCTTCCAAGACGCTCCATGCTCATAAACATTGTTACGACTATTAACCCACCTCATAAACCTTTCATTTGTTTCTACACAGCCTCTAGCAACATTATGAGTAATATTATAAGCCTGATCAGTTCTTTGGCTCACAGGCATTAATCCATACAGAGAGTTTCTTAAAACCCTAGGGCCAGGGTTAACCCTGGGTGGAATATATCCCACATTAGCTCCAAAATGACGGAAATGTTGCGGGTAATGATATGGTTGATATCGGGGTGAGTGTTGATAACTGCTACGCCATTGAGAGTGGTGATCATAGGAATCAGGATAATATGGTGATCGAGGGATTGAAGATCGATAATGAGATGAAATCATATATTGATGTGGGATTGGTGTTGGTGGAGGTAAAGAAAATGGATCCAAAGGATCATAATGAGGTTCTTGATTTTTTCCTTTTTTCGCCAATAAACGCTCTTTTTTGTGAGCATTTTGATGCCCACCTAGAGCTTGCCAACAGTGGAATACCTTGTCACAGTAATTGCAGGGATACATAATTTCAGATTCATCATCAACATTTCGATTTTGAGAAATGTTTGTGTTGGATCCATTGTTGTTTGGTACCCGATCAGTCATTTTTTCTGCAGGTAAAATTTCGAGGATTACCCATTTGATGTAATCATGAAAAGACACCGAAAAATAACAAAAATGACATAATACTGTAAGACGGATTTTTGAAAAGCAAATATGGATTTTTCAAAAAAAAATCGGATTGAACAGCAAATATGGATTTTACCTAGGGGTGAGCACGGTTCGGTTCAAACCGAAAAAACCGACCGAACCGACCCGAACCGACCCGAAAAAAACGGTTTTATGAGTAAGGCGGTTCGGGTCGGGTTGACAATTTTTCAAACCGACCCGAACCGAACCAACCGAATATATTTGTGCCTTTGATTTGTGGGCTTATTGCTGTGTTCGATCACCATGAATAGCAGTTGCAGGGAATTGATTCATACATAACCAATGTTCTAATGAGCCAACTCCTTTTTTTGTCTCCACAAAGACCAAACTCAAAGCTTGCTACACAAAGACAAAGCAAGTCCGTTACTAAAAAATTACAACGTCAGAGTCTAGTATTTAATCCAAAAGGACAAGTTACTTCACTTAAAAACAGTATACATACATGAGCAAAAATAATAAATTGAAGTGAAGTTAAAAAACAAATACATGCTGGCATAGGGTAATAATAATATATAAAAGATAAATTGAAGTGAAGTTATACTTGATGAAGTTAGAACCGAACAAACCGAACCGAACCGCACCGAACCGATTTGTAATGGTTCGGTTCGGTTTTGAATTGTAGATGGTTCGGTTCGGTTGTTCAAATTTTGGTAAAAACCGACCCGAACCGAACCGTGCTCACCCCTACCCCGTAGTCCACAACTAAACTGATTTTAGCCCCAAAAAATAAACTAAAAATGTTTTTTTACCAATCAGAAAACAATCTCAAAACTGGACCAAGCTTAGACTTGGCCCAGTTTTACAAAGTTGCCAAACAAGCCCTTAGTGATCTTCTAAAAACACAGTAAAAAAAACACCATGATATCGGAATGAAGTCCTAGTATTTGGTAATGGTTGATATATTCAAGATAATTACGTATTTATAAATTATCGTTTCAATTCATCCTATTTCATCAGATCCAGGATGTGATATGGTTCCGAATGATGAACCAGATATAGACAGTCTTCCCTCCAATAATCTAGCACTATAGTCTACTGCAAAGATCAATATTCAACAAATCTATACTACTTATAAAAGAGAATATCCATGTCAAAATTTTTGATTTTCAACGGTTTTATGAGTAAGGCGGTTCGGGTCGGGTTGACAATTTTTCAAACCGACCCGAACCGAACCAACCGAATATATTTGTGCCTTTGATTTGTGGGCTTATTGCTGTGTTCGATCACCATGAATAGCAGTTGCAGGGAATTGATTCATACATAACCAATGTTCTAATGAGCCAACTCCTTTTTTTGTCTCCACAAAGACCAAACTCAAAGCTTGCTACACAAAGACAAAGCAAGTCCGTTACTAAAAAATTACAACGTCAGAGTCTAGTATTTAATCCAAAAGGACAAGTTACTTCACTTAAAAACAGTATACATACATGAGCAAAAATAATAAATTGAAGTGAAGTTAAAAAACAAATACATGCTGGCATAGGGTAATAATAATATATAAAAGATAAATTGAAGTGAAGTTATACTTGATGAAGTTAGAACCGAACAAACCGAACCGAACCGCACCGAACCGATTTGTAATGGTTCGGTTCGGTTTTGAATTGTAGGTGGTTCGGTTCGGTTGTTCAAATTTTGGTAAAAACCGACCCGAACCGACCCGTGCTCACCCCTAATTTTACCTACTGACACACTTTGTATCGAATAAAAAAATCCGTCTGTGGTGTCACATTAATCATATATAGCAACAACATACACGGTAACTTAACCTTCACAGAGGGATTTTCCGTCTTGGACAACTTCAATAAACTTAAAAAAAATTGCTTGTCTAAAATATAAACAACTATTAGAAGTACTAGAAATACCATAAACAACAAAACTGTAGTATACATAAAGGAGACTAAAGATTTACCTTCTCTGCTTTAGTTTTGAAGGAGACAATTTGTTTTCCCTAATGATGATCATATCTAGCTAGAGAAGTCCTTTATTTATAGATGTAGGTTATACCATATATAGAAATAAGATAACACATGGGATTTTCTCATAGTTTCATGCATACTATGGTAGTAAATTAGCAAATATATATGCTGTCAATATATGTATTTACCTTTTGTGACCAATATTCTTGTCCATTGCACTGATCTTTTAACACTTTCCAGTAATCCAATTAGCATATTAACTTGTTATACACTAAATGCCAGCTGTACAAAAGCTTTCTAAATCTGGGGAAAGAAAGAAAAAAGTCGACCAGGTTCGAATTTTTAGGAGATGGATCCATTGCTAGAGTAATTAGTTTTTTGATATTTCTCTAATTGTTTTCTTAATTATCGAAACATTTCAATGTATGATTGGACTTCTTCTTGTGTCAAATGAACCTTTACAACTATGTTATCTTGATGCATATCTATGAGGATACACATTTATTTAAGAAATAAGTTGTTCGCTCAAATGTATACAGTTTGAATATAAGGTGATAAATCAAAAACGTATACACTGTTTCAATTCCCATGGATTTCTGTTAATTTGAAATTTTTAAATACTAAGATAGTATGTCTAATTATATTGCTGAAGTACATGTCTAGAATTTGTGTGTACAATGCCATTTGATCCAAATACCAGTATATGTTTCCTGATAATTATGGTAAACCTAGCAAGGCCAGAAAAACATGCACACCAGTATATGTTTCCTGATAATTATGGTAAACCTAGCAAGGCCAGAAAAAAATGCACACCAGTATATGTTTCCTGATAATTATGGTAAACCTAGCAAGGCCAGAAAAACATGCACACCAGTATATGTTTCCTGATAATTATGGTAAACCTAGCAAGGCCAGAAAAACATGCACACCAGTATATGTTTCCTGATAATTATGGTAAACCTAGCAAGGCCAGAAAAACATGCACACCAGTATATGTTTCCTGATAATTATGGTAAACCTAGCAAGGCCAGAAAAACATGCACATGAAAAAAAACATGCACATGACAACTGATTACTAGAGAAGTTGAAAACCATATTCGTGAACATATCCAGATAAATCTCACCATCTGAAAATTAAGTATTAATGTAGCATTGTGAGTGTAGTTGAAGTCTTCATGCTAATTATGTCAAGAACACCAGGCACATGCAAAAAAGCATGACGGAAAAAAAAACAGTTCATGGCATTACTTTACCAAAGTTTATTATGCCCTTTTCTGATAGTTAAAGCATTATATCTTGAGACAGTGAGGAAAATAATTTCATTATATCCTTTTCTCGTACGTTCTAACTATAAGGGGAATTTTAAGATGGAAACCAGTAAGGATTTTCTCACTGAGATAATCTTTATAGACACTTCCAATTGACAGCCTGCCATCTTTTATCATAGTATTGGAGATGATGATAGAAAATGAATGTTTACTTCTTTGATAAGTGTGGCAACAACATTAATCAGAAAACTGAACAATTAGGACGTGTGTTGATAAGTCAAGCCAATTAAGTGTATCTGTCATTCATCCTACAACTGTGCGACGTAAACTCAAGAAATCTGCTATAAATTGAAGTGGCTTCTGCATGGATAAAACTACTTTATGAAGTTTGAGATAATGGAAATATTGAGGATTTTATGTGATACACTTGCAAGCTAATCAAGGAATGATACTGTTACTTATTGGGATAATTTGAAACTTGCTCGGTATAAACTTATACTCAAAGCAAACAGACTTTATGCACTAGACTTGGTAAGCGTACATTACTGCTATACATTATCATGATAATTGTCAAGTTTATTGATGTTCGAAAGAACCAAATTAATGTATTGAACTTTTAAAGGTTGAGAAACTCGTATTCGATCTGAACAACAAGCTAATAGAAACCAGTGAACAGAAAATTCACTATTGATGGCCAAAAAAAATCTAAGAATAAGAATTTTATTATGTTACCTGTTGCATTTAAAATTTCCAGGTAGTTTTTGTATTGTATAGAATGTGTTAGAATATAAAAATATAACCCTCAACCCTCACCATAACTTTGGAGTTTTGGTGTAATGGTTAGAGGGACTTAATTTAAGATGGTATCAGAGCAACCCAGATTCAAATCCCACGGGCCGCGGATTTAAAGCTGATTTTCTAATAATTGACACCCCTCAACCCTCACAATAACTTCGGAGTTTGGTGTAATGGTGAAAGGGACTAAATTTAGGAGAATGCTACATGCATAATGATCAAAGGCCTGGCACGAAACAATCTCTTTATCTCTAGCCTATCAATGTAGCATAGGTATTTCTAAGGATATCTTTGAGGATTGATCTCTGTATCTCTAGCCTATCAATGTAGCATATGGTATTTCTAAGGATATCTTTGAGGATTGTTGCAAATGGCTTTTTACTACATAAAGTGCTGATCTTAGCTGGAGTTAAATAAAAAATGATTATTCCGCATAGACCTCCTTGTAGTACCGTTGTTTTGAACTTACTACCCATATATATTGTTCCATTGTTTCAGATGTTAGGGATTCAAGCTACCAATTGTTGGTACAATTGCTCATTAGCTACTCGACCACCTGTCAAATATGAACCCTCTGCGGAATTTGTCCTACTGAATCTTGTGTTAAGAAGTGGAAAGAAGAAATCACATCAAATAAAAAATTATAAGAAAAAGGAGAACACCGAGTTTTAACGAGGTTCGGCAACTTGCCTATGTCCTCGGGAGCCACACAAATAATTTCCTTTATATTAAAGAAGATTACAAAGCTTGCAAAGAGAATATCTCAACTTGAGATCTCTCGAAAAGAGCAAAAAAAAAAAACTATCTATTGTTCTCTCAAGGCAACAGGAAAAACTCACTCTCACCTCAATAAATCGCTACAGGAAGAAACCCTTAAGTGACCGAGATTTTTCTTCTCAAAATCTCGTGCTCAAAA